CTTTTCCAGTTTATGTTGAGTTTGAAGCCCCCCTACTGGTGACATTGCAGATTGAAGACAACATGGCAAAAAATACTCCACTCGGAGTATAGAGGGATTGTGTCTTACCAGGGATGTCCTAAAATAGGTGGAGTGGAGGGAGCGGAGATGACAATAAACTGCATCCTCTCTTTATGTTTGCCAGACAAAACTAATGAGCTTGGCTCAGTAATGTGAGTGACCTTCGCCAATTGACTGCCGTTAAGAGCCGGCGCTGTCAAGGGCGTTTCTAAAGGTTCTAAAACAAAGTCTGCCTGCTCTGCCACCACTTGGTCCAAAACATCCTCCTCTGCACCAGAGTCAATAAGAGCTTTAAAAGAGTCAAAGTCTTGTGACACAAAGTTGCTGGAATTTGAAGTTTTGAGTTCTTTATTTTTGGGAGAGGATTATGGCTCACCAGTATTCCCAGACCTACTGGCGAGCATGGCCTTTTGGGCAAATGGGACAGGAAGCAATGAAATTGCCCTTCTCCCCATACAGACACTCACCCGCCTGGCGGCGTTGTTGCCTACTGCTCGGGACAATAACAAACCCCATTGAACATGATGGAAAAAACTGACCCTATGTGTTCTTTTGGAGATGTTAAAAACAAACGGATGGTAAAGAGAGAACAGAAGCTCTCGATTTACCGGTCAATCTTCGTTCCCTCCCTCACCTATGGTCATGAGCTTTGGGGAATGACCGAAAGAACGAGATCGCGGATACAAACGGTCGAAATGAGCTTCCTCCGCAGAGTGGCTGCTCCTTTAGAGATAGGGTGAGGAGCTCAGTCACATGAGAGGAGCTCGGAGTAGAGCCGCTGCTTCTCCACGTCGAGAGGAACCAGTTGAGGTGGCTCGGGCATCTGTTCCGGATGCCTCCTGGACGCCTCCCTGGGGAGGTGTTCCGGGCACGTCCCACCGGGAGGAGGCCCCGGGGAAGACACAGAGGGACGATGTCTCTCAGCTGGCCTGGGAACGCCTTGGGGTCCCCCCGGAAGAGCTGGAGAAAGTGTGAGAGGGAAGTCTGGGCGTCTTAAACTGCTGCCCCCGCGACGTGGCAATGGATGAAGCAGAAGAAAGTTAATGTTTCTCACTTGTCTGTACAACGCTTTGGGCTGGGCTGTTTTGAATGTACTTTACAAATATATAATGATTGAAATATGACATTGTTTAAACATTCTTTCTTCTGTCTTACACCATTTGTCAATTAATGCATTAGTATCATAGACTGTATATATTAATGGACAGAGTCACGCCTATCTCTGCCGTTGATAGGAGTTGGCCATGAAAAGTGCTTTCATGGAGCAATCCAAGATGGCCGCGAGTGGTCTCGCCCACAAGAAAATTGTGAAAAAACGCATCTGCGCATGCGTCAGCCGGCGCAGCTCCATTCATTTGAACGAGAGACTTCAAAAATTCACAGCGAGTAAACTAGACTGGTCCAGAACACTCAGCATTGACACACATGTGGAACGGAGCTTTGGGCCAAGAGCCAACTTTTGGTCCATCCTGTAAAGACGTTTTTGAGAGGTCTGCTAACGCTATATGTTAGCATTGGCTAATTCTTCTTCTGGGTGGCCCGGGGTGGTATTGCAGCATGTCAGCGCACGTCATTTTGGACACTTTTGAGCTGAGACCCTCCCCCACTGATTAGTATAAATATTATGGGCAAGGAAAGTTTATTTGTGTAGAACAATTCATACACAAGGCAACTCAAAGTGCTGAACAAAATAAGAAAGCATTAAAATCATAAATAATCACAGTACATTAAAAAGAAAGATAACTAAAGCCGCAAGTGGCGTCGAACGGCCCTCGCCGCACCGCGCAGAGGAGGTTGGCGCTAACGCACCATCTTCCTAGAGCCCTGATAGGAGCGACACTGTGTATTTTGAATACCTATGATCAGTGATTGTTTGTCTCTTTGATTTTGTCATAGACACATAATGGGGAGTGTGTGTCGTCGCCACGGCAACAAAGTAAAAAATAAGCCATGGGTGTATTTGAGTTTTTGAATCAGGATGGCAAAACAGAATTATGTGCAAAATTTCAAACATTATGAAAAAACTGTCTTTCTGCCCCTGTAAAACTTGACTCAGTCTGTAGGGGGCGCTAATGCTGCAATTTCATGTTTTACACTTTCAATTCACCCATACCCAAAAGTTGAACCATCAATTCAAATTTTGTGCATATCAGACTTTGTATATTTACTTTGCACAATAGCGCCCCCTACAATTTCAATTTTTTGGTCTTATACCAAAGAACACCAAAATAATACATTTTATTCTTAAAAAAAGGTGAGTTTTCCTGTTTGTTCAGTGGGTCAAATATTAGATCAAACAAGAGAAAACCTAAATACCTTTATCCCCATGTAAACCTTTACTCAGCCTGTAGGGGGCGATAATGGGCCAATGTCATTGTTCACACAGTCATGTGACCTAGGCCCAGGAGTTGAACAACAGAGTCAAGTTTAGTGCAAATCAGAGTTTGTAAATGTGCTCCTGTTTGCACATACAATCTGTGAGTGTGTCCAAACCAGTGTGGGCGGGTCCCGGCTCAAAAGTGTCCAAAATGACGTGCGCTGACATCCTGCAATACCACCCCGGGCCTGTGGGGGTGGACCCGGAATAAGAATTAACCAATGCTTCTTACCTCTGGAAAACGTCTTTACAGGATGGTCCAAAAGTTGTCTCTTGGCCCAAAGCTCCGTTCCACATGTGTGTCAATGCTGAGGGAGTGTTCTGGACCAGTCTAGTTTAGTCGCTGTGAATTTTTGAAGTCTCTTGTTTATATAAATGGAGCTCGTGCAGCTGACGCATGCGCAGATGTGGGTTTTTTCACATTTTCCAGCCCCCGCAGCCATTTTGAATCACTCCATGAAAGCCCAATTTTTGGCCCATTAGTTAGAACGGTGGAGATAGGCGTGACTCTGTCCGTTAATATATACAGTCTATGGGCCATTCACGGGAACTTCACACCTCTCTCTGAAAATAACCACACTTTGGGAGTCTTTCACGCGCAGACCGTTTGACTAATTCAAATTCTACGATCAACTATTGATGGTCCATGTGTTGAGATGATGTGGAGCGATTTTCAGACAAATTAGTGAAACAGCCACGGCTGGTTTGATGTTTGTGCGAGGTGTACTTTTCAGAGATGTACTAATTTTCCCATAGATACAGAATAGGGAGTGTTTGTCGTCGCCACGGCAACAGGGTAAAAAATAATCATATGTTGTCATTGACAAACACAAACATTTTGAAAAAACTGAATTGGATTCAGCCCATGTAAAACTTTGACATAGTCTGTAGGGGGCGCTAATGAGCCAATTTCAATATTTCCACTTTCAAATGACCTAGACCCTGGAGCTGAACAATGGATTAACATTTTGTGCAAATCAGACTTTGTTTGTGCAAACGGGAGCAAATTTACTTTTGTCAAAACATTTAAAAATATGTCACATTTTGCCGCTCCGCAGCTCGGACAAGGTTTAACTGATCCAAATTCTATGATCAACTATTGATGGTACATGTGTTTAGACCATGTGGAGCGATTTTGAGAGAAATCGGTGAAACATAGGTGCAATGTACACTGACTTTTGTAGGGGGCGCTGTTCTGGCATTTTTTTTTGTCCCAAATAAACACCAAACACCAAATTTTTTTATTTTGGTGTGAGGCCCTGGAGAGACTTGTAACAAGCAGAGCTGTTTTAAAGTCTATTCTCTGAGCCACAGGAAGCCAGTGCAGAGACCTGAGGACTGGACTAATGTGGTCGTACTTCCTGGTTCTAGTCAGGACTAATGTGGTCGTACTTCCTGGTTCTAGTCAGGACTAATGTGATGGTACTTCCTGGTTCTAGTCAGGACTAATGTGATGGTACTTCCTGGTTCTAGTCCAGACTAATGTGATGGTACTTCCTGGTTCTAGTCTGGACTAATGTGATGGTACTTCCTGGTTCTAGTCTGGACTAATGTGATGGTACTTCCTAGTTCTAGTCCAGACTAATGTGATGGTACTTCCTGGTTCTAGTCTGGACTAATGTGATGGTACTTCCTAGTTCTACTCCAGACTAATGTGATGGTACTTCCTGGTTCTAGTCTGGACTAATGTGATGGTACTTCCTGGTTCTAGTCAGGACTAATGTGATGGTACTTCCTGGTTCTAGTCTGGACTAATGTGATGGTACTTCCTGGTTCTAGTCAGGACTAATGTGATGGTACTTCCTGGTTCTAGTCTGGACTAATGTGATGGTACTTCCTGGTTCTAGTCTGGACTAATGTGATGGTACTTCCTGGTTCTAGTCTGGACTAATGTGATGGTACTTCCTGGTTCTAGTCCAGACTAATGTGATGGTACTTCCTAGTTCTAGTCCAGACTAATGTGATGGTACTTCCTGGTTCTAGTCTGGACTAATGTGATGGTACTTCCTGGTTCTAGTCAGGACTAATGTGATGGTACTTCCTGGTTCTAGTCTGGACTAATGTGATGGTACTTCCTGGTTCTAGTCAGGACTAATGTGATGGTACTTCCTGGTTCTAGTCTGGACTAATGTGATGGTACTTCCTGGTTCTAGTCAGGGCTCAACCTGCATTTTGAATGCAATCGTTTGTCCGCAGTTTCTGTGTCATTTGAGCAGAAGAAGAAGAGAGCGACAGGTCGGTGTCATGTTGGCTTCAGAAAGTGACGTGAGCAAAGACTCTTCAGCCTCAGAGACAAATGTCTCTGAGGCTGACGACCACAGGTTCATAGTATTTCATTATTATTTCATAGAATTTCACAGTGTTTCATAGTATTTCATAGTATTTCATAGTATTTCATAGTACTGCATTCTACTCTCTCCTCTGGTCACACACATTGACTGCAGTTCCTTTACGACACAGGTCTAAAACACCCGCCTCACATTCACACTGTTGAACACAGGGACAGTGTGGCCCCATCGCAGACGCAACAAACACCAGGAAGATACAGAGGATTATAACTCACCGGCCATGTCCTCGTCTGGGTCTGAGCTGGGTCTGAGCTGGGTCTGAGCTGGGTCTGAGCTGGGTCTGAGCTGGGTCTGAGCTGGGTCTGAGCTGGGTCTGAGCTGGGTCTGAACTGGGTCTGAGCTGGGTCTGAGCTGGGTCTGAGCTGGGTCTGAGCTGGGTCTGAGCTGGGTCTGAGCTGGGTCTGAGCTGGGTCTGAGCTGGGTCTGAGCTGGGTCTGGTCTGGGTCTGAGCTGGGTCTGAGCTGGGTCTGAGGTGGGTCTGAGGTGGGTCTGAGCTGGGTCTGAGGTGGGTCTGAGCTGGGTCTGAGCTGGGTCTGAGCTGGGTCTGAGGTGGGTCTGAGCTGGGTCTGAGGTGGGTCTGAGCTGGGTCTGAGCTGGGTCTGAGCTGGGTCTGAGCTGGGTCTGAGCTGGGTCTGAGCTGGGTCTGAGCTGGGTCTGAGCTGGGTCTGAGCTGGGTCTGAGGTGGGTCTGAGGTGGGTCTGAGCTGGGTCTGAGGTGGGTCTGAGCTGGGTCTGAGGTGGGTCTGAGGTGGGTCTGAGGTGGGTCTGAGCTGGGTCTGAGCTGGGTCTGAGGTGGGTCTGAGCTGGGTCTGAGGTGGGTCTGAGCTGGGTCTGAGGTCTGGGTCTGAGCTGGGTCTGAGCTGGGTCTGAGGTGGGTCTGAGCTGGGTCTGAGGTGGGTCTGAGCTGGGTCTGAGCTGGGTCTGAGGTGGGTCTGAGGTGGGTCTGAGCTGGGTCTGAGCTGGGTCTGAGTGGGTCTGAGCTGGGTCTGAGCTGGGTCTGAGCTGGGTCTGAGGTGGGTCTGAGCTGGGTCTGAGGTGGGTCTGAGCTGGGTCTGAGCTGGGTCTGAGCTGGGTCTGAGCTGGGTCTGAGCTGGGTCTGAGCTGGGTCTGAGCTGGGTCTGAGCTGGGTCTGAGCTGGGTCTGGTCTGGGTCTGAGCTGGGTCTGAGCTGGGTCTGAGCTGGGTCTGAGCTGGGTCTGAGCTGGGTCTGAGCTGGGTCTGAGCTGGGTCTGGTCTGGGTCTGAGCTGGGTCTGAACTGGGTCTGAGCTGGGTCTGAACTGGGTCTGAGCTGGGTCTGAGCTGGGTCTGAGCTGGGTCTGGTCTGGGTCTGAGCTGGGTCTGAGCTGGGTCTGAGCTGGGTCTGAGCTGGGTCTGGTCTGGGTCTGAGCTGGGTCTGAGCTGGGTCTGGTCTGGGTCTGAGCTGGGTCTGAACTGGGTCTGAGCTGGGTCTGAGGTGGGTCTGAGCTGGGTCTGAGCTGGGTCTGAGCTGGGTCTGGTCTGGGTCTAAACCTCCTGTGTGGCGGAGCTCCTCCTCTCTTACGTAGCTTGTCACCAATGACAGATGTTGCATTCTGATCGAACCTGCTTGACTGGGTTTTATCTTGTTTTTAATGACAGAAATATTTGTTACAGACACACTTTCCATTAGATCGACTTTGGTGGTGCCATGATTTATTTCTCATATTTTGAATTCAGATTCTAAGAAACACACGGGTGCCTCGTGTGTTTATCTTCAGTTTGTTACACCACCAGTGCTTGACCCCGGGGGGTCTGAGATCATCTTCAGCTGCAATCGACCTCAACGCTGCAAGAGTCACTGCCGGGGTCAATGCGCCACACAAATAAATCAATTCAATGTAACAATTGTCTGTCTTTGGTTTCTTCAGATTTAAATTTATTTTGGTGCGAGGCCATGGAGAGACTGCATTTGACCCATCCCTCCTTCAGCAGCAGTGGTCGTCATAGTAACAGGGACGCATCTGCAGAGGCTGAGCTTTTACCTCTTTACATGTTTTTAGTGATGGGGAAAACCTGAGCAGCCTCAGGCCCAGGACCAGGGACTGACAACGCCTCAGGATTCCCCCACATTGTTAATGTCAATGTATTTTTGTAAAGCCCTAAATCACAACAGCCGTGTCTCAAAGGACTTTACAAAGTTGTTGATTCATCAACGCAGATCCATGAACCAAATACAGAAATACAATAATTATAAGACATTGAGCTGGTGGACAGCTTCTGGACTGGTCCATAATACCAACGCTCTGTACAAGAAGGGCCAAAGTCGCCTCTTCCTTCTGAGGAGGCTGAGGTCCTTCTGAGGAGGCTGAGGTCCTTCTGAGGAGGCTGAGGTCCTTCTAAGGAGGCTGAGGTCCTTCTAAGGAGGTTGAGGTTCTTCTAAGGAGGCTGAGGTCCTTCTGAGGAGGCTGAGGTCCTTCTAAGGAGGCTGAGGTCCTTCTAAGGAGGCTGAGGTCCTTCTGAGGAGGCTGAGGTCCTTCTGACGAGGCTGAGGTCCTTCTAAGGAGGCTGAGGTCCTTCTGACGAGGCTGAGGTCCTTCTAAGGAGGCTGAGGCTCTTCTAAGGAGGCTGAGGTCCTTCTGAGGAGGCTGAGGTTCTTCTAAACACTTCTTTTCTCTAAACACTAGGATGCACAGGGTCTCTGCTTCGCAGCCACTGGCAGTCTAGTTAGAGGAGAGACCCGGCTGGGGCCCTGTCGTGAAGCCACCTGTGCCATTCCCTTAGTGATAACACAAAGAATACATAACAGAAAAACATCTGGAGTTAATCAGTCTAATCAGGAAAATCTAATTCTTGTTCCGTGTAAGAATCAGCCGACCACAACCGCTGATCCTGAAACTTTGAAACTTGCTATGCTAAATGTCAGATCTCTTTGTAACAAGTCTTTTTTAATCAATAATTTTATTTGTTCTTATAATCTAGATCTTATGTTCATGGCTGAAACATGGCTTGACCAAAATACAGAAAATGCAGTTTTAATAGAAGCATCACCACCAAATTTCAAATTTGAATCTGAAATACGGGAAAACAAAAAAGGAGGAGGCTTAGCTGCCATTTTCAGAGACCACTTTGTCTCCCATAGAATGTCTCTTGGGAAGTTTCCGTCTTTTGAATATGTGTCTTTTAAAATACAACAAAAACAATCTCCTCCAATACTTTTCGTTGTCCTATACAAGCCACCGCAGTCATGTCACAGTTTTATTGATAATTTTACAGAGTTGCTTTCAGTTGTATGCACAGATTTTGATAGTTTAGTTATTACAGGTGATTTTAATATTCATGTGGATAATGTTGATGACAGAAATGCTAAAGAGCTGAGTTCTCTTCTTGAATCTTTTGGTCTCACTCAGCATGTGAGTGGCCCCACCCACAGCAAAGGGCACACTCTAGACCTGTTAGTTACAAAGGGGGCGAACATATATAATGTAAACGTGGTCGATGTTGCGCTTTCGGATCATTTTTGTATATTTTTTGACATGTGTTTCACTAACAAACCACCAGTGGACTCTGCAACTGTACGAAGAAGACACATAAATGAAAATACGGGTGAACTATTTATGGGAATGATAAACTTTGAGAATGCATCGTATTCTACTGTAGATGAACTGTTTAACTCTGTCACCTCTAGTGTTTTGAAAGTTCTGGACACCATCGCTCCTGTGAAGGTTAAAATAGTGAAAAATAAGCAGAAGGCGCCGTGGGCTAAAGCAGACTCGGTCAGAGCACAAAAGAGAGAGTGCCGGAGGGCCGAGCGGAAGTGGCGCAAGTCCAACCTCCAGGTTGATTACAAGATCTTCAAAGATAAGTTGTGCGAGTTTAACCAGGTGCTACGTAGTACAAGAGAAAGGTATTTTTCTGAAATGATTGAAGGCTGCAGCAACAATCTGCGTGTTCTGTTTTCAACAGTTAATAGATTAACAAACCCCCCTGTTCAAATGCCATTAGAGCTAACTTCCAAACGTAAATGTAATGAGTTTGCACATTTTTTCAATGACAAGGTTCAAGGCATCAAAAACGCCATTGTCTCCAATCCACAGATAACAATCCAACAGCCAGAAAGGCTCTTTGAGCTAACTTACTTTGCACCTGTAAATGATCAAACTGTCCAAGAGATAATCTCCAGTTTGAGCTCCTCCACATGCAGCCTGGATGTACTACCCACTAGATTTCTAAAGTCTGTTCTGAGCAGTCTGTTACCTTCACTCACACAGATAGTAAACATGTCCCTTGATTCTGGAATATTCCCAAAGGCCCTGAAAACTGCAGTCATCAGGCCCCTGCTAAAAAAGAGCAGTCTGGATGCTACGGTACTTAACAACTATCGTCCCATCTCAAATCTGCCATTTATGGGGAAAGTCCTTGAGAAAGTTGTCTACCTACAGCTTACTAGATTTCTTATAATCAACAACTCATTTGATATGTTTCAGTCCGGCTTTAGACCCCACCACAGCACTGAGACTGCTCTCGTTAAGGTTACAAACGATATCCGGCTGAACACTGACGCAGGCAAAGTCTCAATCCTAATCCTGTTAGATCTAAGTGCTGCCTTTGATACTGTCGACCATGAGATCCTCTTACAGAGACTAGAGGACTGGGTTGGCGTCGCTGGCACCGCCCTAAGTTGGTTTAGGTCTTACCTTGAAGACAGGAAGTACTTTGTGGAGATTGGAAACTGTGTCTCAGATCATATGCCCGACCTGTGGAGTACCACAGGGGTCGATCCTGGGACCTCTTCTGTTCAATCTCTACATGCTGCCGTTAGGTCAGTTAATACGCAGAAACAAAGTTTCCTATCATAACTATGCAGACGACACTCAGATCTATGTCTCACTGACTGCAGGAGAACATGGACCAGTGGACTCACTCCTTCACTGTATCCAACAGATCAGTGAGTGGATGCAAAACAACTTCCTTCAGCTAAACGCAGACAAAACTGAAATGATTGTCTTTGGTCCCCAGAAACAAAGAGAGAGCGTCATCTGTCACCTACAGTCTCTCTCCCTAAAACCTTCTAACAAGGTCAGAAATCTAGGGGTAATACTGGACTCAGACTTAAATTTTAATAGCCACATCAAATCAGTAACATCAGCAGCTTTTTACCATCTAAAAAACATTGCCAGGATCAAAAACATAGTGTCTAAAGCAGACTTGGAGATTCTTATCCATGCATTTGTCTCCAGTAGGTTAGACTACTGCAATGGCCTGCTCACAGGTCTGTCCAAACAGGCTGTAAAACAGCTGCAGTACATTCAAAATGCAGCAGCTCGAGTCCTGACTAGAACCAGGAAGTACGACCACATTAGTCCGGTCCTCAGGTCCCTGCACTGGCTTCCTGTGGCTCAGAGAATAGACTTTAAAACAGCTCTGCTTGTGTACAAATCTCTCCATGGCCTCGCACCAAAATATATTAGTGACATGTTAGTCCCATATGAACCAGCCCGGACTCTGAGGAGCACAGGGACTGGACTCCTGTTAGTGCCCAGAGTCAGAACTAAACATGGGGAGGCTGCTTTTCAGATTCATGCTGCTAAAATCTGGAACAATCTTCCTGAAGATGTGAGACAGGCCTCCTCTCTGACAATGTTTAAAACCAGGTTAAAAACGGTGCTGTTTAGCTGTGCATACAACTGAGGGATTTTATATTTTTATCTTTCGTTTTAATGTTCTGTAATTATTTATGATTTTAATGCTATCTTGTTCAGCACTTTGAGTTGCCTTGTGTATGAATTGTGCTATACAAATAAACTTGCCTTGCCTTGCCTTGCCTAAAGAGGCTGAGGTCCTTCTAAGGAGGCTGAGGTCCTTCTGAGGAGGCTGAGGTTCTTCTAAAGAGGCTGAGGTCCTTCTAAGGAGGCTGAGGTCCTTCTGAGGAGGCTGAGGTCCTTCTAAGGAGGCTGAGGTCCTTCTGAGGGGGCTGAGGTCCTTCTGAGGGGGCTGAGGTCCTTCTAAGGAGGCTGAGGTCCTTCTGAGGGGGCTGAGGTCCTTCTAAGGAGGCTGAGGTCCTTCTGAGGAGGCTGAGGTCCTTCTGAGGGGGCTGAGGTCCTTCTAAGGAGGCTGAGGTCCTTCTGAGGGGGCTGAGGTCCTTCTGAGGGGGCTGAGGTCCTTCTAAGGAGGCTGAGGTCCTTCTTAGGGGGCTGAGGTCCTTCTGAGGGGGCTGAGGTCCTTCTAAGGAGGCTGAGGTCCTTCTGAGGGGGCTGAGGTCCTTCTGAGGAGGCTGAGGTCCTTCTGAGGAGGCTGAGGTCCTTCTGAGGGGGCTGAGGTCCTTCTAAGGAGGCTGAGGTCCTTCTGAGGGGGCTGAGGTCCTTCTAAGGAGGCTGAGGTCCTTCTGAGGGGGCTGAGGTCCTTCTGAGGGGGCTGAGGTCCTTCTGAGGTGGCTGAGGTCCGGGCAGCACAGAGTGGGGTAGGAGTCGACTATTGCCACTGTTTCTTGTACATAATATATCCTGAACAGACTAGTATATACAGTATATTTTTGCCTTTAACATGTCGCACACTTCTGTCTTTTGCACAAATCTGAGTGATTCTATCCAAATGTGACATGTAATTTTCTCCTGTATAACTGTATGTTTGCTAAGTATATGGATGGTAGGTATGGCTCCACACGAGCAGACCAGCTCACTTTCCTACGGCCCCAGGCTGGCTGGACTCCGCGGTGCGAGTGGTGGACATGTCCAGCCCACTAGCTCTGATCCCGGCCAGAGCCGTAGCGCTGCCCGCCGATCCGAGTAGGACACTCGTCGAAGTCCTTCCACCGGAGTTCAGGCAGAACTCTGCCACAAACTCTCTCACGACTTCTCAAAAGAGTCTCACGGTCGTACGCCACTGTGTCCATCGCCAAACCAGAGAGGACCAGGACAACACTAGGAGAAAGACAGGAGAGGACCAGCATAACACTAGGAGAAAGACAGGAGAGGACCAGCATAACACTAGGAGAAAGACAGGAGAGGACCAGCATAACACTAGGAGAAAGACAGGAGAGGACCAGCAGAACACTAGGAGAAAGACAGGAGAGGACCAGCAGAACACTAGGAGAAAGACAGGAGAGGACCAGCAGAACACTAGGAGAAAGACAGGAGAGGACCAGCAGAACACTAGGAGAAAGACAGGAGAGGACCAGGACAACACTAGGAGAAAGACAGGAGAGGACCAGCAGAACACTAGGAGAAAGACAGGAGAGGACCAGCAGAACACTAGGAGAAAGACAGGAGAGGACCAGCAGAACACTAGGAGTAAGACAGGAGAGGACCAGCATAACACTAGGAGAAAGACAGGAGAGGACCAGGACAACACTAGGAGAAAGACAGGAGAGGACCGGCAGAACACTAGGAGAAAGACAGGAGAGGACCAGCATGAGACTAGGAGAAAGACAGGAGAGGACCAGGACAACACTAGGAGAAAGACAGGAGAGGACCAGGACAACACTAGGAGAAAGACAGGAGAGGACCAGCATAACACCAGGAGAAAGACAGGAGAGGACCAGCATAACACCAGGAGAAAGACAGGAGAGGACCAGCAGAACACTAGGAGAAAGACAGGAGAGGACCAGCAGAACACTAGGAGAAAGACAGGAGAGGACCAGCAGAACACTAGGAGAAAGACAGGAGAGGACCAGCAGAACACTAGGGGAAAGACAGGAGAGGACCAGGACAACACTAGGAGAAAGACAGGAGAGGACCAGCATAACACTAGGAGAAAGACAGGAGAGGACCAGCATGAGACTAGGAGAAAGACAGGAGAGGACCAGGACAACACTAGGAGAAAGACAGGAGAGGACCAGCAGAACACTAGGAGTAAGACAGGAGAGGACCAGCATAACACTAGGAGAAAGACAGGAGAGGACCAGGACAACACTAGGAGAAAGACAGGAGAGGACCGGCAGAACACTAGGAGAAAGACAGGAGAGGACCAGCATGAGACTAGGAGAAAGACAGGAGAGGACCAGGACAACACTAGGAGAAAGACAGGAGAGGACCAGGACAACACTAGGAGAAAGACAGGAGAGGACCAGCATAACACCAGGAGAAAGACAGGAGAGGACCAGCATAACACCAGGAGAAAGACAGGAGAGGACCAGCAGAACACTAGGAGAAAGACAGGAGAGGACCAGCATAACACTTGGAGAAAGACAGGAGAGGACCAGCAGAACACTAGGAGAAAGACAGGAGAGGACCAGCAGAACACTAGGAGTAAGACAGGAGAGGACCAGCATAACACTAGGAGAAAGACAGGAGAGGACCAGGACAACACTAGGAGAAAGACAGGAGAGGACCAGCATAACACTAGGAGAAAGACAGGAGAGGACCAGCATAACACTAGGAGAAAGAAAGGAGAGGACCAGCAGAACACTAGGAGAAAGACAGGAGAGGACCAGGACAACACTAGGAGAAAGACAGGAGAGGACCAGCAGAACACTAGGAGAAAGACAGGAGAGGACCAGCATAACACTAGGAGAAAGAAAGGAGAGGACCAGCAGAACACTAGGAGAAAGACAGGAGAGGACCAGCATAACACTAGGAGAAAGACAGGAGAGGACCAGCATAAACACTAGGAGAAAGACAGGAGAGGACCAGCAGAACACTAGGAGAAAGACAGGAGAGGACCAGCAGAACACTAGGAGAAAGACAGGAGAGGACCAGCAGAACACTAGGAGTAAGACAGGAGAGGACCAGCATAACACTAGGAGTAAGACAGGAGAGGACCAGGACAACACTAGGAGAAAGACAGGAGAGGACCAGCATAACACTAGGAGAAAGACAGGAGAGGACCAGCATAACACTAGGAGAAAGAAAGGAGAGGACCAGCAGAACACTAGGAGAAAGACAGGAGATGACCAGGACAACACTAGGAGAAAGACAGGAGAGGACCAGCAGAACACTAGGAGAAAGACAGGAGAGGACCAGCATAACACTAGGAGAAAGAAAGGAGAGGACCAGCAGAACACTAGGAGAAAGACAGGAGAGGACCAGCAGAACACTAGGAGAAAGACTAGGAGAGGACCAGCAGAACACTAGGAGAAAGACAGGAGAGGACCAGCATAACACTAGGAGAGAGACAGGAGAGGACCAGCACAACACTAGGAGAAAGACAGGAGAGGACCAGCACAACACTAGGAGAAAGATAGGAGAGGACCGGCAGAACACTAGGAGAAAGACAGGAGAGGACCAGCAGAACACTAGGAGAAAGACAGGAGAGGACCAGGACAACACTAGGAGAGTTTTTAGACCATGAATGTCGTGCATTGAAGTAGAAACAAAAGTGATTTCTCTTTTATTGATAGAAAAGCCAACAACAGGTGATTCTACAACAACAAAACACATCTCCATAAGTTCTTTGAAAATCAGTTGCTGCAACGTTGTCTCCCTCGTGATTGGTTCTCTGGTTGCTAGGGTGTTGCTATGAGATCTTTTCCAGATTCCCTTATATGTACCTGTAACCGGTAAAAGCTGTGAGTCCCGCTCCTTTTTATATAAAGCTTCCACCACCGCAGACAAACGTCACCTTCAAACATCACCAGAGGAAAAGGTCGTACGGGTCGAATTTATCAAACAATTCCTCTGGTTTGGTCAGAATGAACTCCAGAACTTCTCTCAGAGGGGAGGGGCTGGGGTCGATTGGGACCAGTGGGACCTCTGGAACTATCTCTGGGACCAGTGGGACCTCTGGAACTATCTCAGAGACCAGTGGGACCTCTGGAACCATCTTAGGGACCAGTGGGACCTCTGGAACCATCTCTGGGACCAGTGGGACCTCTGGAACCATCTTAGGGACCAGTGGGACCTCTGGAACCATCTCTGGGACCAGTGGGACCTCTGGAACTATCTCAGAGACCAGTGGGACCTCTGGAACCATCTCAGGGACCATTGGGACCCCTGGAACCATTTCAGGGACCATTGGGACCTCTGGAACCATCTCAGGGACCAGTGGGACCTCTGGAACCATCTCAGGGACCAGTGGGAGGTCTGGATAAATGTCACAAGCGGGGATCACTGGAACATGAGGGACCAGTGGGACCTCTGGAAGCATCCCAGGGACCAGTACGACCTCTGGAACTATCTCAGGGACCAATGGGACCTCTGGAACTATCTCAGGGACCAGTGGGACCTCTGGAACCATCTCAGGGACCAGTGGGACCTCTGGAACCATCTCAGGGACCAGTGGGACCTCCCTCAGCCACCGAATTACTTTTGGGAGTGTGTAGCAAATGACAGCGACTCCCAGGACTCCGGCCGCAGCCATCACTGTGTACTTCAGATACGGCGGCCGCGCTGTGGCTTCCTTCATGTACTTGCCGAGCAGCAAGGTCTTGGCCTGCTCCCGGCTCTCTTCCTGACCCGGACCCGTATCCTGACCTGGACCTAGACCCGGACCCGGACTCAGACCTGAGCTGCTTTGAATGCGCATGGTCTCGGCCTGAATCTCACGCTCCACTTGCAGTAATGTATCATTGCTGAAAAACGTTTGGTTTTGTCGAGCTGTTTTCTCCACCGTCGCCAGGATCTCCTACAAAAACAAACACAACACGTTACTTTGACCTTAAACAAGATCTTGAGAACACTCTGAGCCTCTCATATTGTCTCTAAGGATCCACTCATTCTCTCACACTGTGGAAAAACACTGGATTTTCACCCAAAACCCCAGGCCTCTTCTTCTTCTACACTGAGAGACACAGAGGACTCAGTATTTAACCCTCCTAACAATCTAGTCTTTTAGTGTGAACGCTGCGACCGAATACAGAGACTTTTTCTCATTTTGAAGACATACTAAGGACACAAACATAGTCTAGCACTTTACAGCCGCAGCCGCCCCACTGTAGCACCTGGTGTTCCCGGAGTTCTCCCATCATAGTACTAACCAGGCCCTGCCCTGCTTAGCTTCAGAGGTCTGATGGGCTCTTGCGTTCTCCTGCAGCTGTGTGTGATACAGACGTGTCTCACTCACTTGCACCTGGAAGGCGTTGCTGCGATAAGAATCTTCCGGAGGCTCTCGGTTCCAGTACTTGTTGTCGACCACGTGACAGCGCCCCCCGCAGGCCTGGACCAGCTCTGTCAGCCCTGCACTCTGCTCCACAAACTGAACCATGTGCATGTCCTCTGGAAGCTGGTCCCCGTGAGTGAAGACCACCGTGAGGAAGCCAAACACCTGCACCAGGACCAGGAGAACCAGTGAGAGAGTGAACTAGGACCAGGAGAACCAGTGAGAGGGTGAACTAGGACCAGGAGAACCAGTGAGAGGGTGAACTAGGACCAGGAGAACCAGTGAGAGAGTGAACTAGGACCAGGAGAACCAGTGAGAGAGTGAACTAGGACCAGGAGAACCAGTGAGAGGGTGAACTAGGACCAGGAGAACCAGTGAGAGTGAACTAGGACCAGGAGAACCAGTGAGAGAGTGAACTAGGACCAGGAGAACCAGTGAGAGAGTGAACTAGGACCAGGAGAACCAGTGAGAGGGTGAACTAGGACCAGGAGAACCAGTGAGAGGGTGAACTAGGACCAGGAGAACCAGTGAGAGGGTGTACCAGGACCAGGAGAACCAGTGAGAGGGGGAACTAGAACCAGGAGAACCAGTGAGAGGGTGAACTAGGACCAGGAGAACCAGTGAGAGTGAACTAGGACCAGGAGAACCAGTGAGAGGGTGAACTAGGATGAGGAGAACCAGTGAGAGGGTGAACTAGGACCAGGAGAACCAGTGAGAGAGTGAACAATGACCAGGAGAACCAGTGAGAGAGTGAACTAGGACCAGGAGAACCAGTGAGAGAGTGAACTAGGACCAGGAGAACCAGTGAGAGGGTGAACTAGGACAAGGAGAACCAGTGAGAAGGTGAACTAGGACCAGGAGAACCAGTGAGAGAGTGAACTAGGACCAGGAGAACCAGTGAGAGGGTGAACCAGGACAAGGAGAACCAGTGAGAGGGTGAACTAGGACCAGGAGAACCAGTGAGAGAGTGAACTAGGACCAGGAGAACCAGTGAGAGAGTGAACTAGGACCAGGAGAACCAGTGAGAGAGTGTGCCAGGACCAGGAGAACCAGTGAGAGGGTGTACCAGGACCAGGAGAACCAGTGAGAGGGTGAACCAGGACTAGGAGAACCAGTGAGAGGGTGAACTAAGACCAGGAGAACCAGTGACGGGTGAACTAGGACCAGGAGAACCAGTGAGAAAGTGTGCCAGGACCAGGAGAACCAGTGACAGGGTGAACTAGGACCAGGAGAACCAGTGAGAGAGTGTACCAGGACCAGGATAACCAGTGAGAGGGTGAACTAGGACCAGGAGAACCAGTGAGAGAGTGTACCAGGACCAGGATAACCAGTGAGAGGGTGAACTAGGACCAGGAGAACCAGTGAGAGGGTGAACTAGGACCAGGATAACCAGTGAGAGGGTGTACCCAGGACCAGGAGAACCAGTGTGAGGGTGAACCAGGACCAGGAGAACCAGTGAGAGGGAGTACCAGGACCTGGACTGTGAGGCAACACTGACATTTCCCGACTGTGGGACCAGTAAAGGGTGGTTCTGGTACCTGGTCTCCACACAGTGTCCGCACTCGCCGCACCACGGCCTCCTCTTGGCAGGTGTATCTCTGCACCGACATCACCAGCAGAACAGCATGAGGTCCTGGAGCACACTGCAGCAGAGCACTGAGCCACTCACACCTCTGAGCCCGACCCGAGGCCCCCTGCAGAGGGGTACCGACCAGACCAGGGGAGTCCACCACCTACCAGAGAGACCAGAGAGAGACCAGAGAGAGACCAGAGAGGGATCAGAGAGAGACCAGAGAGAGACCAGAGAGATCAGAGAGACCAGAAGGGAGACCAGAGAGACCAGAAGGGAGACCAGAGAGAGACCAGAGAGAGACCAGAAGGGAGACCAGAGAGAGACCAGAGACAGACCAGAGACAGACCAGAGAGACCAGAAGGGAGTCCAGAGAGACCAGAAGGGAGACCAGAGAGACCAGAAGGGAGTCCAGAGAGACCAGAAGGGAGACCAGAGAGACCAGAAGGGAGACCATAGAGACCAGAAGGGATCAGAGAGAGAAAAACAAAATTATCTTCTTAGCCTCTTGCATTGAGCACACGATTAACTTTTGTAGGTCTGAAAGTTGGTAAATTTGCTAAGTATGTATTGTTTCTTACATTTCAATAGTTAAATCTAGTAAAACTTCTCCATGGTTTGTGTTTTAGTCATGACAAGAGCTTAAGGCTGGCTCTTGGTTAAAGAAGTAGTAGAAATATTCAGCAATATATAATATACAGCAATAGGCATGAAAAGAACTCAGTGAAGGAGAGAGGGTGTCCACACTTTTGGTCTGTACTGTATATACAGTATATATTAAAAGAAAATGATGTGAGATAAGTAGAAAGATTTGTTTGATTTTCTATATATAACACCAAGATGTCTGCCCCTGGTCTGTCCAAGTTGTTGGAGACCACTGAACTAAAGCACACCCCATCAATCAGAGTGAGTGCGTATAGGACCAGCTCTGACCGTGAGAGTCCGGGTCCCGGTCTGGGGCCTGGTCTGGGTTCTGGTCTGGGTTCTGGTGTGGCTCTGGGACCTCCGAATCTCCTTGTTACTCCTGTGGCTCACACTGAACACAGACTCCCCCAGGAGGAGGTTGGCCAGACTGCTCTTCCCACAGCCCTGCTTCCCCAGCAGCAGCACCCGGAGCGACTCTGGCTCTGCACAACCAACACCTGGGATTTAAATTCACGTTCAGTACTTTACATTTTACATTCATGTCCTCAGGCTGCAGTGGACAGAAGCAACTGTGCTTTTATTACTGAATATAGTGGTACATATGGTCTCTCTCTGGTCTCTCTCTGGTCTCTCTCTGGTCTCTCTCTGGTCTCTCTCTGGTCTCTCTCTGGTCTCTCTCTGGTCTCTCTCTGGTCTCTCTCTAGTCTCTCTCTGGTCTCTCTCTGATCTCTCTCTGGTCTCTCTCTGGTCTCTCTCTGGTCTCTTTCTGGTCGTCTCTGGTCTCTCTCTCTTTTCTCTCTCTGGTCTCTCTCTGGTCTCTCTCTGGTCCCTCTCTGGTCTCTTTCTGGTCGTCTCTGGTCTCTCTCTCTTTTCTCTCTCTGGTCTCTCTTTGGTCTCTCTCTGGTCTCTCTCTGGTCTCTCTCTGGTCTCTCTCTAGTCTCTCTCTGGTCTCTCTCTTTTCTCTCTCTGGTCTCTCTCCGGTCTTGTGTATCCGAGAACAAGGCTTTAAGGCGCTCACATCGCTTCAGAAACAGGAAGAAAAAGTATTAGTACCAGAGCCATGTCTTCACTAACAGTTTGACTAAAGTAAGTAAATAATAATACATGTATTAGTACACATATGGTTAGGATAGAGCGCTCTCACCTCCCATGGTGCTGGTCTGTCTGGACTGGTGCAGAGTCTGGCACCAGTTACTTTCACTTTCACAGAGGCGGAGTCTCAACCACAGCCGATCCCAAAACACCTGCAGAACCTGCTCGGACAAATATCTCACCACTGAGAGAGAGACCAGAGGGAGAGACCAGAGGGAGAGGCCAGCGAGAGACCAGAGAGAGAGACCAGAGAGAGAGGCCAGAGAGAGAGACCAGAGAGAGAGACCAGAGGGAGAGACCAGAGAGAGAGACCAGAGAGAGAGACCAGAGGGAGAGACCAGAGAGAGACCAGAGAGAGACCAGAGAGAGAGGCCAGAGGGAGAGGCCAGAGAGAGACCAGATGGAGAGGCCAGAGAGAGACCAGAGAGAGAGACCAGAGAGAGACCAGAGAGAGAGGCCAGAGAGAGAGACCAGAGAGAGACCAGAGGGAGAGACCAGAGGGAGAGACCAGAGGGAGAGGCCAGAGAGAGACCAGAGAGAGACCAGAGAGAGACCAGAGAACTTAACTAAACTGTAAAGCACTTTGTGTTGATTTTTTGTATGAAAAGCGCTTTTTAAATACAATTTGATTGATTGATCTTGGAGAGACCAGGGGCAGACATCTTGGAGAGACCGGGGGCAGACATCTTGGAGAGACCAGGGGCAGACATGTCACTCCCGTATTCGTCCCGGAAACCGGATTCGTCCGGAAGTTCAGTTTGATCCAATGAGCATACGCAGCAGTAGATTACGTCACGGAATCTGGACGGAAGCGGAAGTAAATATAAAAAACTACCTATTCATGCCTAAACTTAACCAGCCATTCCCATAAAATAACCCCAACCCAGCCTTAACCCTAACCTTAACCATCTTACTCAGACGCCTAAACTTAACCAGTCTCCATTTAAGGACATATTAAACTTTTTGACATGCGCAAACTGAACTTCCGGACGAATCCGGTTTCCGGGACGAATACGGGAGTGACAGACATCTTGGAGAGACCAGGGGCAGACATCTTGGAGAGACCAGGGGCAGACATCTTGGAGAGACCAGGGGCAGACATCTTGGAGTGACCAGGGGCAGACATCTTGGAGTGACCAGGGCAGACATCTTAGAATCCTTCTTGACGTAGAGTCACTTTAAATTTCCATTGTGTGACTTTGCCGTCAGCCAAACCTTCCACATGCCAAAAAGTGAAAGCACAGGGCGTTGCCAAACAAATTCCAAAACACGATTGATTCTTATCTTCCCAAAAGCACAGGTCTCAGCTGAACACACAACATGAGCCGTGAGTAGAGCTTTTAAATTAATATTTTATTCCTTAAGACTGTTGGAAAAAAAGTCAATAATCTCATAGGTCATCAACACCTACATTATTTAATATGATTTAAATGTATGTTTTATGAGTTAAGAGATACTCCAGCCTCCGCCTTCTGCTGTTATCTGCTGTCTCTATGGATTGTGTGTCTGTGTGAGTGTTTGTGTTATCTGCTGTCTCTATGGATTGTGTGTCTGTGTGTGTGTCTAAGATGCATTAAAACGGACATGATTGGAGTGTTGAAGTGTTGGCACTACTGCAGCTTCTCCTCATGTGTCCTGAAACACACACACTCTACACAAACACACACACTCTACACACAGACACACACACTCTACACAAACACACAGTGAGTAACAATACAAGTTAAAACATTACAATAGAAGACACACAAAGAAATGTAAACTTTTTTTTTTTTTGCTGGAGCGTTAAAACAAAGGCTTCAGGACAAAGTCAGCGATCAGGGGATGTTTAGGAAAAGCTTTAAGAGCCACTGGTTGTTTTCCACAGAGGCCGCAGACTCGACTCGCATCGTGGTGGTGGGGAAGACCGGAGTGGGCAAGAGCAGCACGGCCAACACCGTCCTCGGGAAGAAAGTGTTCCGTGTGTTTGCATCCCCCAAGTCTGGGACTGCGCAGTGTGAGGCCCATGTCCAGGAGGTACACACAAACACACACACACACATAGATACTTAAGGCAAGGCAAGTTTATTTGTATAGCACAAACATACACAAGGCAACTCAAAGTGCTGAACAAAATAAGAAAGCATTAAAATCATAAATAATCACAGAACATTAAAAAGAAAGATAAAAATATAAAATCCCTCAGTTGTAGCAAAGCTAAACAGAACCGTCTCTAACCTGGTTTTAAACATTGTCAGAGAGGAGGCCTGTCTCACATCTTCAGGAAGACTGTTCCAGATTTTAGCAGCATGAATCTGAAAAGCAGCCTCCCCATGTTTAGTTCTGACTCTGGGCACTAACAGGAGTCCAGTCCCTGTGCTCCTCAGAGTCCCAGCAGGAGTCCAGTCCCTGTGCTCCTCAGAGTCCCAGCAGGAGTCCAGTCCCTGTGCTCCTCAGAGTCCCAGCAGGAGACAAATGCATGGATAAGAATCTCCAGGTCTGCTTTAGACACTATGTTTTTGATCCTGGCAATGTTTTTTAGATGGTAAAAAGCTGCTGATGTTACTGATTTGATGTGGCTATTAAAATGTAAGTCTGAGTCCAGTATTACCCCTAGATTTCTGACCTTGTTTGAAGGTTTTAGGGAGAGAGACTGGAGGTGACAGATGACGCTCTCTCTTTGTTTCTGGGGACCAAAGACAATCATTTCAGTTTTGTCTGCGTTTAGCTGAAGGAAGTTGTTTTGCATCCACTCACTGATCTGTTGGATACAGTGAAGGAGTGAGTCCACTGGTCCATGTTCTCCTGCAGTCAGTGAGACATAGATCTGAGTGTCGTCTGCATAGTTATGATAGGACACTTTGTTTCTGCGTATTAACTGCGGATCCCCCCCCCTCTCTCTCTTAGGCCTGGACTCCACCGGCCGCATCTCCTTTACGGGCGTTGGCTGCTGCCCGTCAGACGTGCGTAAAACGGAATAGTGGCCAAACCGGCTGCTGCAGCTCTGGCTGTGCGTTTATCAGCCCCGTGAGGCTTTGTTTTAAATAGAAGAAGCAGTGTGTGATGTGCATGAGCTGTGGCTGTGATCCATGCAAAGCACGGCATATTGAAGCATTGAGGACGTCGCGATGGATGAGGAAAAACTTTTTGAAAGCAAATGGAAAAAGGGGAGAGAGAAAAGAACTCACACATCTCCAAGCTTCTTTGAAAGCCAGTCAATATTAACTCACTGACTGCCAGGCATTTTCAGATTTGAGAAGTGCGTTCTGCCAGCAATTTCAGGTGATTTGACCCAACTTTGAAGTGCCACAGAATATTCATTTTTTAGATGATGTAAACACCAAGGGCATCTGCTTTACTCTGAAAAAAACAGTTTGTTTCTACCTCTTACCGTTCTTGCGTTATTCGCCATAGAACAAAGCATACTTTCACCCATAACACCTGGTCTGAGCAAGAAAACAGAGGAAACGAGCTGTATGTAAACAGGAACATATCAAGCAGAAAAGAGACTTTTAGATGCATTTTTGCTGCTTTAGTGACAACTCAAAACATCTTCACACTTGTTCCATTACAAAAATTATAAAAACATGACTCTGAAATAGTACTTTTGATGGCAAATTGTTGGCAATTTATTCACAGATAGAAAATTTAACTTTCTTCTATACCATCAACCAAAACGTCAAACAACAACACAAAGATCAATAAAACTATAGATGTATAAAATAGAATGAAGCGTGTGAATTTGAGTGTGTGTGTGTGAATGTCAGTGTGCGAGTGAGTGTCTGTGTGCGTGTGTGAGTGTGTGTGTGTCTATGTGCGCGTTAGTGAGTGAGTGAGTGCGTGTGAGTGTTCGTGAGTGAGTGTATGAGTGAGTTTATCTCCTTTTTCAGTCCTCCCAGTAGTTCAGCTTTGAGTTGTAGAGGTTGAAACACTGTGTGCAACGGAACACGACACGCTGTGTACCATTTGTAGTTCTCCCTCCGTGAAGAAGAGCTCCAGAAAGTATGGATCAGATGAATCCAGCTCCAGAAAGTCTGGATCAGATGAATCCAGCTCCAGAAAGTCAGCTGGATCAGATGAATCCAGCTTCGCAGCCTCTGTCCGCAGTCTCTGTGGTCCAGGAGCTCCTGTGAAGGGCAACTGACTCGGCTCCCACTCATCCTCCTGTCAGCCATCTTCCCCAGAGCTTCTGGGTGACGAACGTGCTGAAAATTGGATACACACAATAACTATATTATACAGTGAATTTGTTACAATAAATCAATACATAAAATACAATGAAGGCCTTCCTCCCACATTAGTGACTGACTACTTTTGGACCAAACACAGTATACTATATGTAAGGGGTCTGCTTCCGCCCTGAAGGTACTTATTTTACGATAATGACCTGCGTAATATACGTTATCCCGCTTATTATACGGCTTTATACCAACAGAACACACAACATAAACTTCAGTCCACTTTTAGGAATGCCGAAAGGTTTATTTAATGACAGAAAATAAAATAGTTCCCAAAGGCTTTCCCGTGGCTATGCTAGCAACAGTTAGGCTAGCAACTTCCAAACTAGAACTCTCTGGAACAAAGAACTGAACAAAGAATCCTGAACATCAGCGGTGAGTGACCCAAACATAAACTTAACCTAAATCCATAATTCGATCCTCTGCAAATGTGTCCGAAAATGTGCCGGTATCTTATTCTTAAAATGTACCGGTATCTACTTCCGGGTTTTTCGGGATCGCATTTTCTCGCATTACATCAGTGTTTTTGTCATGAAAACGTAAACGGAAAATTCTGAAAACTTCCGTGCACTTGTATTAAGACTGGATATGTATAAATTACTCTCCGATTAACATTTGATTGCGTTGATTGATTGGCATTTGCGTTTATTGAGCGGCCAGAACTACTTCCGGGTTTTTCACGATCGCTTTTGGACGCAGAGAAATAGTATTTTTGTCATGAAGACAAGACCAGAAAATTCTGAAAATTTCCGTGCACGTGTGTGAAGAATGTATATGTATAAGTATTCTCCAATTAACATTTAAGTGTGTTGATTGAGCGTGGCTAGCTCAGGAGTGGCCGGAACTACTTGCGGAGTTATCCACGCATCTGAAAGACAAGCAGAGAGTGCGTTGCCAAAGGGCAGCGGTCATCATTGTTTTGAGAGGTCCGTTATAGAAAATAATGACCGGTAGAACGTTTTGAAATTACATTCAAATCAATGGAGCATTCTACTGCTGCTGTGAGGAGCCGTATAATAATATTATTATATTATATTGCCATGGCATGTACAAGAATAGAAAGAGTAGTTCTTTTACCTTTTTTGTGCACAGCAACTGCCTCTTGATGCACCACCTGTAAATAATATACATTTGTAAATCACTATACCAGGAGAATATATACAATAATATGTACAATGGTATGAGGAGGAATCATCTTTACCACTGCTCCTTGCTCTGTCAACCCCAATGGGGGAGGGCTCTTTACTTTTATCAGAATCTGTGAATGAACACATTTCATTTAGTCAGAGCTATGACACTACAACAAGATGTTCAAGTATGAAATAACTAAACATAAAAATAATAAATACAACAATGATAAAACGCATAACTAGCATTTACTAAAGAAACAGTAGGATTTGAGCGCTGTGTTACTTTGCAGATCAAAGCAAGTTTCCGCGCCTTTCCCTCCTCTCAAGTTAGCATATTCTAGGCAATTTAGCAAGTTCTTACCTTCGACTCTTCGTGGAGCTTCTGGAGAGGATGCTCTGCTGGATTGAGACTGCAACCACTCATCCGATAAATCATGATCAGGTTCTCTGAACAAATCCGAGGCATCAGTAACAGCAGCAGCTGATACGCTGCGAGAGGCGGAAGGTGTGTCCCTGCTCCGGGCTCTTGCTCCGCGCAAATGTGGCTGCAGAGACGGACCTCCACCGGGGTCTCCACTCTCCCCTCTCGACCTCACTCACTGATCCGCGAGTCAATCTCTGAAGCAGTGTACACTGCTTATAACTATTCTTTTTCGGCATCACTCTTGCTATACTATTGCTAAACTAGATCGCTGATCCGTCTCAATGCTACGCTATCATCGCTCTGCTACAGCAGCACGCTGTCCAAACACTCCCACACTCCTCCTCCTTCTCTCCACTGACTTATGACCTCTCCTGTGGTGCAATACTGCATCCTACTGGTGTTGATTTATCATTACAGGTACATTTGCACTATATATCAGTATTGTGGGTCATTCACAAGGTGCGCCAGACATTACTGCAGCCTCCCGTGTAATAACATGAAAAACTCGTCAAACTCGTCATGGGCAGTGAGCGTTACTATTCAACATGACGACTTTTGTCGTCATGGGCAGTGAATGAGTTAACATTACGCAAAAAATAAACGGTAGATTTACGATCAGGAAACAAATATCTCCTTACATGTTTAATAATGTGGTAAATATATTATTCCATTGTATTTTCAATGGAAACGGACCCGACACGCGCCGACGGACGGAACAAATAGGATTGTTTCTATTTGGTCCGTCCGTGTCCGTTGCACCCTGTGTGGACGGACTGCTCCCTATGTCATACGGACGCATGTCGCGGGCAGTGGAGCCACTTCCATTCACCCTCATGGAGAGAACGGAGACGGAGATGAAACGGACACGTTTGGACGGATACGTCGTCCGTTTTACGCAGCCGGTGGAGTCGGGGCCTTACAGTCATGTCCCTCTGCAGGTGCTGGGGCGGCAGGTGAAGTGGATCGACACCCCCGGCCTGTTCGACACAGACCGTCCTGAGAAGGAGATGAAGCAGGAGATACTGAAGTGCATCACTGAGTGCCACCCGGGGCCCCACGTGTTCCTCATCCTGCTGCCTGTGGGTCGATACACGGCCCACGAGGAGCAGATGGTGAACATGCTCAGGACCTACTTCTCTCAGAACATGCTGCGCTTCTCCATCCTGCTCTTCACCCACGGAGACGACCTGGACGACGGGCAGAGCATCCAGGAGTTTGTGTCCGAGAGCCCGAGTCTGAAGGTCAGGGCCCGGAGCTCGACACACGCCTGTCAGACTAGCTTGGGATTAGTTATTACTCTTTATTATTACATTTTATATATTCTATTTATCTATTAGAAAACTGCATTCACTGTTTAGTTTCATCGTACTATGGAGGGGCCCTCTGCACTGGGAGCAGTGGTCGACTGCAGCTGTGGGGGTCCGGCTCCTGGACCTGGGGGAGGTCTGGGGCCTCCTCTCTCCTCTGGGTCCTGTGGTGGCTCTCTGCTCCTGGTGCAGACTCCTGGTCACACCCAGCTTTAGATCTTATCTTGGTTCTACCCATTTTACTGATTGGATATGACTATATTTATGTGTGTGTGTGTGTGTGTGTCTGTGTCTGTCTATGTGTGTGTGTCTATGTGTATCTGGTTGGTTGGTTGGTTGGTTGGGGGTTGGTTGGTTGGATGGTTGGGTGGTTGGTTGGAGGTTGGTTGGTTGGTGGTTGGTTGGTTGGTTGGATGGTTGGGTGGTTGGTTGGTTGGTTGTTGGTTGGTTGGTTGATTGGTTGGTTGGATGTTGGGTGGTTGGTTGATTGGTTGGATGGATGGTTGGTTGGATGTTGGTTGGTTGGTGGTTGGTTGGTGGTTGGTTGGTTGGTTGGTTGGATGGTTGGTTGGTTGGTTGATTGGTTGGTTGGCTGTTGGGTGGTTGGTTGATTGGTTGGATGGATGGTTGGTTGGTTGGTTGGTTGGTTGGATGGTTGGTTGGTTGGTTGGTTGGTTGGTTGGTTGGGGGTTGGTTGGTGGTTGGTTGGTTGGTGGTTGGTTGCAGGAGCTGCTGCAGAGCTGTGGGAACCGTGTGCACGTGGTCGACAACAAGCGCTGGGGCGGCGAGCTCGACGGTTACCGAAGCAACCGCCACCAAGTGCGAGCGCTGTTCCAGACCGTGGAGCAGATGATGAGCGCTAACACGGGACACTACACCAACAGCCTGTTCCAGCAGCCCCTGGAGGATCTCCTGTTGAAGGCCTACTGCTACACGGCCGGCGCTCTGCTCATGGCCTTCTTCGGACGCACCCTCCTGAGCTAACTGTGGAGCCTCTTCAGAGCAGGGGGCGGGGCTAGTGAGCAGTGGGTGGAACTAAAGAGCAGTGGGTGGGGCTAGAGAGCAGTGGGTGGGGCAAGAGAAAAGGGGGCGGTGCTGAAGAGCAGTGGGTGCAGCTAGTTAGCAGTGGAGAAAAGGGGGCGGTGCTGGAGAGCAATGGGTGGAGCTAAAGATCAATGGGTGGAGCTTTAGAGTGAAAACTTTATTAGTTTTCACTCTAATAAAGTCATTAATAAAGTATTTCCAATCACAGTTTTGTTCCAGAATCTTCTTCCTGTGAAACATGTAGCTCTGGTCTCTCTCTGGTCTTTCTCTGGTCTCTCTGTCTGGTCTCTCTGTCTTGTCTCTCTCTCTGGTCTCTCTCTCTGGTCTCTCTCTCTGGTCTCTCTCTCTGGTCTCTCTCTCTGGTCTCTCTCTCTGGTCTCTCTCTGGTCTCTCTGGTCTCTCTCTAGTCTCTCTCTAGTCTCTCTTTAGTCTCTGGTCTCTCTCTCTCTGGTCTCTCTCTCTGGTCTCTCTTTGGCCAGCAGATGATCGTCAGTTCTTGTTCTAGTGCATGGAAGACACTTCAGCCGATGTTTAGGGACAGTGCATAGTTTTCACTCTAATAAAGTCATTAATAAAGTATTTCCAATCACAGTTTTGTTCCAGAATCTTCTTCCTGTGAAACATGTAGCTCCTAAACACTAATGCAATCCACCTGCCGGGGTTTAGATAGAAACAAATTCTGTATGAGTTTTGAGACTTTTTGCTAATTTCATTTTAATAATTATGGGGAGTTTTAGATCTAAGTGAAACTGGAAACACTCTACACTGCTCTGATCGGATCATGTGTGTGTGAAATGTACAAATTATTGATTGACTGCGGAACCTTCCGCACCATTGGTTTTCACGTTCTTTATTATTATTCCGTCTTTTTCCTGATTTTTGACACGTTTCACAGCTTTCACATTTTCAACAATTTCCACAAGTTATACATCAAAACGTTCCACATGTTTGGGAGATTATTGCTATTACTTTTGGGACTTCAGCGATTTCCGGTTTTTCCGCAATCGGACAAAAATCGGTCGATTTTTCCCATTGACTTATAATGGGGCTTCCACAAATTCATAGTTTTCAGAATTTTCTTCAACATTTTCAGCATTTTCTGCAGTTTGTGCATGTTCAGCTTCCACAACTTGTGAGTTTTCAGAAAAAATTAGAGTTCTGCAGTTTTCCAGTTTTTTTCTACGGGCTTGGGAATTCTGCCATTAATTTGCATTGAGAATTCTGCAATGCATTTTAATAGGCCCATGCATTTTAATAGGACTTCAGCTCTTTCAGACATTTCTACAGTTTCAATGATTCAACAGTTTCAAGGATTCAACAGTTTCAAGGACTTCAGCAGTTTCAAGATTTCAAGAGTTTCAAGGACTTCAACAGTTTCAAGGACTTCAACAGTTTCAAGGTTTCCACAGTTTCAAGGTTTCAACAGTTTCAAGGTTTCAACAGTTTCAAGGTTTCAACAGTTTCAAGGACTTCACCAGTTTCAAGGACTTCAGCAGTTTCAAGGACTTCAGCAGTTTCAAGGACATCAACAGTTTCAAGGACTTCAGCAGTTTCAAGGTTTCCACAGTTTCAAGGACTTCAGCAGTTTCAAGGACATCAACAGTTTCAAGGACTTCAGCAGTTTCAAGGTTTCCACAGTTTCAAGGTTTCAACAGTTTCAAGGTTTCAACAGTTTCAAGGTTTCAACAGTTTCAAGGACTTCAACAGTTTCAAGGATTTCAACAGTTTCAAGGTTTCAACAGTTTCAAGGTTTCAACAGTTTCAAGGACTTCAGTGTAATCATGCAACCTAATAGAGATTTTTCCATGTAAACCAGTATAATGCAACTTAATAGGGTTTTTTCATGTAAACCAGTATAATGCAACTTAATAGGGATTTTTCCATGTAAACCAGTATAATGCAACTTAATAGGGATTTTTACATGTAAACCAGTATAATGCAACTTAATAGGGTTTTTTTTCATGTAAACCAGTATAATGCAACTTAATAGGGTTTTTTCCATGTAAACCAGTACAATGCAACTTAATAGGGATTTTTCCATGTAAACCAGTATAATGCAACTTAATAGGGGTTTTTATATGTAAACCAGTATAATGCAACTTAATAGGGTTTTTTCCATGTAAACCAGTATAATGCAACTTAATAGGGATTTTTCCATGTAAACCAGTACAATGCAACTTAATAGGGATTTTTCCATGTAAACCAGTATAATGCAACTTAATAGGGTTTTTTTCATGTAAACCAGTATAATGCAACTTAATGGGGATTTTTCCATGTAAACCAGTATTATGCAACTTAATAGGGATTTTTCCATGTAAACCAGTATAATGCAACTTAATAGGGTTTTTTTCATGTAAACCAGTATAATGCAACTTAATAGGGTTTTTTTCATGTAAACCAGTATAATGCAACTTAATGGGGATTTTTCCATGTAAACCAGTATTATGCCATGTAAACCAGTATAATGCAACTTAATAGGGATTTTTCCATGTAAACCAGTATAATGCAACTTAATATGGATTTTTCCATGTAAACCAGTATAATGCAACTTAATAGGGATTTTTCCATGTAAACCAGTATAATGCAACTTAATAGGGATTTTTCCATGTAAACCAGTATAATGCAACTTAATGGGGATTTTTCCATGTAAACCAGTATTATGCAACTTAATAGGGATTTTTCCATGTAAACCAGTATAATGCAACTTAATAGGGTTTTTTTCATGTAAACCAGTATAATGCAACTTAATAGGGTTTTTACATGTAAACCAGTATAATGGAACTTAATAGGGGTTTTTACATGTAAACCAGTATAATGGAACTTAATAGGGGTTTTTACATGTAAACCAGTATAATGCAACTTAATAAGGATTTTTACATGTAAACCACTATAATGTAACCTAATAGGGGTTTTTACATGTAAACCAGTATAAAGCAACTTAATAGGGATTTGTACATGTAAACCAGTATAATGCAACCTAATAGGGATTTTTCCATGTAAACCAGTATAATGCAACTTAATAGAGATTTTTCCATGTAAACCAGTATAATGCAACTTAATAGGGATTTTTCCATGTAAACCAGTATAATGCAACCTAATAGGGATTTTTCCATGTAAACCAGTATAATGCAACCTAATAGGTTGCATTATACCACCAGACCAAGACCCAAACGAAGACTCAGACCACCACCAGATAATGACCACAGACCAGGTTTCCTTAGTTACAGGAACCAAATTGTTTCAGCGGTGAGGGGATTTTTCAGTTTCAAGGACACTTTCAATACATTCAGTAGTTTCAAGGATTTCAACTATTTAAGAATTTAACCAGTTTCAAGGATATCAGGAGGTTCAAGGATTTCAGGAGTTTCCACACTTTCAACAGTTTCCAGGTTTAAAAAAGTTTCAAGGATTTCAGGAGTTTCAATGTTTCAACAGTTTCAAGGATTTCAGGAGTTTAAAGGTTTCAACAATTTCAAGGACTTCAGGAGTTTCAAATATCTATCAAATATTTTAACAGTTTCAAGGCCTTTTAAAGGATTTCAAGGATTTTTTTTAGCAGATTTCCACATTAGATCTGTTCCGCAGTCAATCGCAATGGCTTCAGCCATTGCAAGTTTCTAGTTATTATTATTATTATCAGGTCTATTATTTAAGTGAGAACAACTCCAGTCATGTGACTGTTATAGACACGTGTGTGTGTCATGTGACTGTTATAGACACACGTGTGTGTCATGTGACTGTTATAGACACACGTGTGTGTCATGTAACTTTTAGACACACGTGTGTGTCATGTGACTGTTATAGACACACGTGTGTCATGTGACTGTTAGACACATGTGTGTCATGTGACTGTTATAGACACACGTGTGTGTCATGTGACTGTTAGACACACGTGTGTGTCATGTGACTGTTATAGACACACGTGTGTGTCATGTGACTGTTAGACACACGTGTGTGTCATGTGACTGTTATAGACACACGTGTGTGTCATGTGACTGTTATAGACACGTGTGTGTCATGTGACTGTCATAGACACACGTGTGTGTCATGTGACTGTTATAGATACACGTGTGTGTCATGTGACTGTTATAGACACATGTGTGTCATGTGACTGTTATAGACACACGTGTGTGTCATGTGACTGTTATAGAGACACGTGTGTGTCATGTGACTGTTATAGAGACACGTGTGTGTCATGTGACTGTCATAGACACACGTGTGTCATGTGACTGTTATAGACACACGTGTGTCATGTGACTCTTATAGACCCCATGTGTGTCATGTGACTGTTATAGACACGTGTGTGTCATGTGACTGTTAGACACATGTGTGTCATGTGACTGTTATAGACACATGTGTGTGTCATGTGACTGTTAGACACATGTGTGTGTGTCATGTGACTGTTATAGACACATGTGTGTGTCATGTGACTGTTATAGACACACGTGTGTGTCATGTGACTGTTAGACACACGTGTGTGTCATGTGACTGTTATAGACACACGTGTGTGTCATGTGACTGTTATAGAGACACGTGTGTGTCATGTGACTGTCATAGACACACGTGTGTGTCATGTGACTGTTATAGAGACACGTGTGTGTCATGTGACTGTTATAGAGACACGTGTGTGTCATGTGACTGTTATAGACACGTGTGTGTCATGTGACTGTTAGACACATGTGTGTCATGTGACTGTTATAGACACATGTGTGTGTCATGTGACTGTTAGACACATGTGTGTGTGTCATGTGACTGTTATAGACACATGTGTGTGTCATGTGACTGTTATAGACACACGTGTGTGTCATGTGACTGTTATAGACGCACGTGTGTCATGTGACTGTTATAGACACGTGTGTGTCATGTGACTGTTATAGAGACACGTGTGTGTCATGTGACTGTTATAGACACACGTGTGTGTCATGTGACTGTTATAGAGA